GAGTAATCTATGTAGTGTCATTGTTTAATCGGAAGCATCCATTGTAACTGAGATTAAACTAGTTAAGATGGTTCGTTAACTGATTACATTTGCGAATCCATCAAACGCTTTGTGGTCGGAATCAATAACATTTCCTTTTTTTTTCATCGTCTCTTTTTAATGTAATTAAAAGTCTCAAATTGAAATTTTGCCAATTTTTATAATTCGTTTAGAATAAATGACTAACATAGGGCGAAATTAGAAATTGAAATGAATAATAAATAAAGCGTTACTGATACGATATTAATAAAATTAGTTTTTGACTAGGTAAAGGTGTCAAGGTTTCGATCAGAGTCAGCTATCTGTTGCGAAACAAACTTGTGGTATTAAGCCTCATATTCACGATGTGAAAATTCTAATTAAATCAAATACATTTTCGAAACCGTAACGCTAAAATTATAGCCAGTCGATCGCACGCTAATCATACACAAATACAATCCGGATCTTATATACTTTTACTGACTTTTGGGGCAGGTTCCTCACACCAAAACAAGAATAAAATTTCACATAAACATATATCCACAAATGCTTCGTTTTTGAGTTATTAAGTTTAAAGTCTACGGTTAAATGTACAATCCAAGATACAATCGAAAAATCATTTTACAAAATTTTGCAAGTGACACAGACTCAGGAGCTGCTCTTAAAGTATCTTTTATGACATTTACGACAGGCTATGTCCACTTGACTTTTGCTGATACCTGGATCATTTCTAACAGCCTGTAGAATATGTTCTTGGCTAGGCGTACGAGCGGATCTCGGTCTTTATCAATCTATAGTTTGTGATGCCACGGATCCTATCTCAGCAACGGGACGATCAACAGCAGAAAAAAGTTAGATGGCTCGGCTGCCTTCAATCTGGAAACGAAATCTGATACAGCCGTGCAACCTCGCGTCCATTACCATTCGCGCAGCCATATGTAAGAATCAGAGCTACCTGCTCGCGGTAAGAATATCCTGCCACTGTTAAACGGAACACTTCCCAGTTAACTCACTGCTACACACGTTAAACGTTCAAGAAATACTAACCAGAAATGTACACGAATTACAAATGCAACCTAGTGTACATAGCAACATATGTAAGCTTTCTTTAAACTTCATATCTCACAAATTACGACATATGTTTACATGAATATTTGTCCTTGATTTTCTGTGAGGAGCCCACCCCAAAGTTTGTAAAATTATTTTTGATACACTCTGTATATGCGAGAAACGATACATAGCTTTTTATATATCAATTCTCAGCGTCTCCTCTCCTCCCTGCGAATGTGTACTCTCATCAATGTAAACATGACTTACGTCAGACGAGGTCGTAAAAGAAAAGACGAAACGTATCACGCGAAAACTTTTCTCCACCTTGGCATAGAGTTCCTAATATATATATATATATATATATATATATATATATATATAGAGAGAGAGAGAGAGAGAGATAGATAAATATTGAGGCAAGTTTCATTAAATAATTTAGATAAGTTTTGTCTGCTTATTTCCAATTAGGATCCGTTCCTATTCTCGAATGAGCTTTTCGGTGTCGGTATTAAAAAAGAAAAAATAATTAACCTGTTGATACATATTGTTTTATTCCGAGTACTTTCGACATTAACAAATTGTCATCCTCAGGGTGTGTTTTAGTGTAGTGTTCATTATTTACAAATAGAAAATCGCTATGTTCAGCTGAAAGTTATAATTTTACGTGTGGAGTGAGGACCGCTAATTTGTTTACGCAAAAAAAATAATATGAGAAGCTATTAATATAGACGATGATATTTTGATCTAAGACAACGTGGTCGTAGTATGTCTAACATAAATATTATTTTTTTCCGTTTGAGATACAGTCACCCAGAGGACATATAAATTTATATACACAACTTTAGTTTCCTGCAACAAATTGATTGGTGGGGAAGAGTAGTTACTAATGATTAAATTGGATTTACTGGATATAGTGTAGTATATAGTTAATTTATTTTTTTGTTACTAGCATCTTTGAACCCGTATAACGGCATTTATTTCCTACATATATATATATATATATATATATATATATATAAGTTCTGATTTGTGACCAGCTTCACTCTGGAATATATTTATATATATAATAATGGACTCTCCAGTCGGTTTCGTCGTATGAGGATCTGACAGCTTAATTGTTTCAGTTATGAAATTTTGTGCAATAATCTTAAGTGGCACTTAAGACCCGCTAGTAATTTACAAAGGGGGACACACATGGAGCAAATGTGAGGAATGTGGGATGAGATCACTGTTAGATTGTCTGACCTTTTAGATCTTGCTCTCACTTCTTGAAGACGATTCAGACAAGCAGATTGAGTCCACTAAAACACGTTAATCTCCATTCTACCCGCTGCAAAGCTAAGCGCTCAACTGTATTATGTGGTATATTGACAGCTGACAAGTTGCTTTTCAACTTGTCTCTGTATCTCAGCCATGGGCTTCCTACATTCCTGTAGCTCTGATCTAACTGTACATTAGTATCCTGCCATCAGACATTCTCAAGACATGACCAGTCAATCGTGACTGAGAATATGAGAAAAGTCACGAGTCCTCCAATATTTCACATGTTAAACATGTCTACGTTAGATATCCTATCTTGAAGGTTAACTCCACAGATTGCACGCAGACAGCTTTTGTGGAAAACATCCAGCTGGCATATATTGTACCTGTATGGAGTCCACGATCCTGAGCCGTACCAATGGATGGCAAGGACAACAGCTCTGTAAAATCAAATTTTCGTATCCAGCCGAAAACCCGCTCATTCAACAAGCGATATCTATCTATCTATCTCTCTCTCTCTCTATCTCTCTCTCTCTCTATATATATATATATATATATATATATATATATATATATATGTGAGAAACTGTAAATGTTTTTTGACACGTTTCATCCGTTAGGATTTCATCGGACTGGGCTTTGTTGACGTTGCCACATCTACACATGCGCACGAAACGAGAGACGCAGGTAGTTTCAAAGTTTGTTAAAGAATATTTATGAGAGAATTTTTTTTCTTCAATCTAGCAGAAATAATTTGTAGTTTATTTCTTCTTCACTTTTGACCCGACTATTCGACACCATGACAACAAAAAATCTACCAAGAATGGTGACCTATTATAAGAGCTTGGATGCAGATTTAGAAAACAATGGCCAGTCCGACGAAATCTAAACGGATGAAACGCGTCACAAAAAATCTTTCCAGTTTGTCATATTTTTCTAAATAATGTTAGTTGATAAATATATATATATATATATATATATATATATATGTGTGTGTGTGTGTGTGTGTGTATATACGAGGGATAATCAAAAAGCTGTCGAGACTGGTGCTATAAAAAGAAAACTACAACAAATATCAATTCAGCATTTAATCTACTTCGAAGTAGTCCCTCTTCTGAAGCCATACACCTTACACAGTATCGTTTTGCATTGGAACTCCTTTTTTGGACAGTGAGCAGCTGTCTCGTCGCATTCTCTTGGATTGCCTCGACGTCTTGAAATCTTCAAGTGTGATTTGATTTTTGAACAGGAAAAAATCGCTATGTGCGTGATCTCGGAAATTTGCTGTTTATAGGACATGGTGGAATTTGGTTTTTGGCCAAATACTGCTACAGAAGCCATTGTCACTAATGGGAACTCTGTGATGCAGTGAGACAACTACACTCGCCACTCTTATCTTTGTGGTATGGCTACAAACAAGAGAAGCAAGCGAGAAATTTAAAACTTATTGGGCATGCGTGACAGAGTTCAACGTTTGTCTGTGTCAAGCAGCTTCACTCTGCATATTTAGCTCCGAATCATAGATTAGGCTTGGTACCTTTATACCAGACCTACTATATATATATATATATATATATATATATATATATATATATATATATATATGTATAAAGAAAAAGAACAGTAAGATATATAATCCGGTGTTGTTATAGGTATTTTTATTTTTTACAAAATAGTGCTCGATGTAAATTTACAGAGAATTAATATTATAAATTAATTGATTTAAAATATGTTTTTTTCCGCTACACAGTTCTAACCATATTTCAAAAATGGAAGCTAAAAGCCACGAATTTAATTTTGTAATTAAATTAAAGACATTAGTTCCATTTCATCCTCAAGCGAATTTTGGAGTAACTTTTAAAATTACTGGGTTTTAAAGACACAGGTAAAATCACGTTTCCATGGTTACAGATAAATCTACTTCAACTGGACAAGGGGTGTCTGGGTTTTCTTTATGTCTGCATCATTGTATCGGTTATTAGCTACATTTTGGTAAGGGGTAGGGATATATATATATATATATATATATATATGTGTGTGTGTGTGTGTGTGTGTGTGTGTGTGTGTGTGTGTGTGTGTATGAGCGGGTGTCTGTCTGTCTTATTTAAAATATTTTCTCATATTTAAAGGTGAAGAGTGCTCAATATCCGAGACAGCGCATTTATAGAGAGTGTGAACATACGAATCAATACTCATGGGAACTGTCTGTTTCACACTTCAAGCGATATTAATACCATGCTGTTTGAATATCTACGTCCAAATCGTCTCTCTTTTCTCCCTAGATCACAAACTATCAATATATATCATATATATATATATATATATATATATATATATATATATATATATATATATATATACAGAGAGAGAGAGAGAGATGTAAAAAGAAAGCATAAAACAGGACAGATAGATAAATAGATAAATAGGTGGGTAGATACCTAGATAGATGGGAAAACAATCAGAAAGAAAGAATGAATGAATAAAACGTGTATGGGAATATATTTTACGTAAAAACATTAGGGCCTTTGTGACACCACATCTACTTCAACCATAGAAGCAGTTTGCGTATATATGGCAAATTAATCTGAAGGTTTTCATTCATTTTTGGCAGAATGTTTCTAGAGATGCTCATATGCATACATACACATACACACACATGCCAACAGATGGAATTAGCGAGCTAGCGTCACAGATAGATAGATAGATAGATAGATAGATAGATAGATAGATAGATAGATAATGTTTAGTTGACTGACATGTATGAGAACAGATAGATATATAAATAGATATTAATTGACTGAGATTAATAACAATAGATAGATAGATTGATAATGTTTATTTGACTGAGATGTATGAGAACAGATATATATATAGATAGATATTAATTGACTGAAATTAATGACAATATATATATAGATAGATAGATAATGTTTATTTGACTGAGCTGTATGAGAACAGATAGATATATAGATAGATATTAATTGACTGAGATTAATGACAATAGATAGATAGATAGATAGATAATGTTTATTTGACTGAGATGTATGAGAACAGATAGATATATAGATATATATTAATTGACTAAGATTAATGACAATAGATAGATAGATAGATAATGTTTATTTGACTGAGATGTATGAGAACAGATAGATATATAGACAGATATTAATTGACTGAGATTAATGACAATAGATAGATAGATAGATAGATAGATAGATAGATAGATAGATAATGTTTATTTGACTGAGATGTATGAGAACAGATATATATATAGATAGATATTAATTGACTGAAATTAATGACAATAGATAGATAGATAGATAGATAGATAGATAGATAGATAGATAGATAATGTTTATTTGACTGAGCTGTATGAGAACAGATAGATATATAGATAGATATTAATTGACTGAGATTAATGACAATAGATAGATAGATAGATAGATAGATAGATAGATAGATAGATAGATAGATAGATAGATTGATTATACGGCAAGCGATAGATATAGAAGACGTAAAAGACAAATGACTACACAGACAAAATGAAAAGAAAAATAATAAGACCTAAAAGAATGGAGGGAAGAAGTGTGGGGTGGTGAGGAATAAGAATTTTGCAGAACCAGATCAAAGGGAATTGCGTAGACGGCTGCTGCGCTTTCTACTTTGGAATTTTCTTGTTTGTTTCTTCGAGAGAGGAGCCGGTTGTGTCGGAGCCGAGGTCGCCATCTCAACGTCTCGCTGCTCACATGACCAGGTGCAGTTGGCCACGGAATTCATTGCTGCAACATATTTTCTTTTTTCTTTTCTTTTCTTTTGCTAAACAGATGTTGTTTGTCTCTTGTTATTTACGTGGTCCCTTTTTAGACAGAAGTGTGGCTTGACCATCTCGGTGAGGAATTTGGTGTTTTTATTCATGGCGTTGGGGATGACGGTGGCGGTGATAGTCGTGGTGCCAGCCTGATGATAGAGGTGTTGCTGGTGTAGAAGGCGGAGTCAGCGGTGGTTTTTGGCGGTGCTATTCCTACTGATGTTGCAGAGATGGTGGTGGTGGTAGTGGTGGTGGAGGTTGTAATGATGTCAATGCTGTTGCTATAGTGAGGATGAAGTTGATGTTGAAAACAGTGGTGGTGGTGCAAATTTTGGAGGTGGTGATGAAGTTTATGCTAATAGTGGTGGTGTTGGTGGAGATTTTGGTGAAAATATCGATGCTTGTGTCGGTAGATGTGGATGACTGTGGCGATGAAATTCTTCTTTTTTTTTCGGGGTGGTCGTGGTGGTGGGCATGTAGTTCTAGCAATAATGGTGATTGTGTTTTTCGTTGGCATGTATGTACTAGAGAGGGTGATGGTAGTAGATCTCCTTTGCAATAAAGATGGCGGAAAACTCGCTACTCATGATGATGGTGATGGGAGTGTCTTTGATGGATATAATGGCGATGGTGTATATGGTATTAGGTTGTTGTTGCTGCTACAGTGATGCTGACTTGATAGAGATGGTGGAGAAATTGCTGACACTGATGGTGGTGGTGATGGTTTTGACAAAAGTGGTGATGGTGGGGATAGTACTTTTAATAGTGGTGGGTGATGGAGTTCCTTTTATTGTTACCACGGTGAGAGAGCTGCTGGAGAAGATACAGACAATTGTAGAGGTCCTGTTGGCGGTGGCTTTAATGAATGTTGTCTTGAAAAAGGTTTTTTTTGGAGGGGGGTAATGGAGCGAAAATAGGGAATGATGAAGAAGGAAAAAACATTGTTGATTAGTTGATGTCCCTGATACTGAGAATTGCGAAAAGGAAATTATGTCCAAGATTGTCTATTTCATGTCATATAAGACGCTCGATTCTTTTGCGTGTCTTGTCCTTTCAGAGCAGTTAGGTTACTTATAAGTAATTGTTGTCTATGGCGTTTTTGTCAAGATCAGCCTCCCAGTTAATTCCATATAAGATGCTCACCCTTTAAGTTTAATCTGACAGTATTATGAAATTACGCTACGCACAGATGCTGCCAGTCGACAGACTTTTAGTAAAGATTAGACTACTGATGTAAATATTTTTACAGTGTTGTCCACTTTATACAGGGCCCAGGAACGACATTAGAGGGTTACAGATTAAGAGGCACAATTTTTGCGGATATGTTGTGAAGATAATCATTAACCCTAGACTTGAACAGGGTAAGACTGTAGTGATCGGGAGAGCATCGTCTTGGGAGTTGGTTCTGAAAAACAGCCGGTTGAGTGGAACTTATCACTAATGGTTGTTTAAGCGTTTCCTATAAGACACTCAGATATCGTTGTTTATTCGGTGATCGTCTTGCTTCAACTTGATTTTGAAATAGGCTTTATTATAGCCCTTTTTGTCGTTCTGTTGTTAATCTTTTTTCTTCCGAGGGCTATTTTCATTTCATTGTTACATTAAACACATAAAATATTTTAACGTATATAAACATACTTTTGATATGGTAATACTACCCCTAAAATTACAGTGTATAATAGTTAAAACATGTTGGTCAACATTAAGCAAATTGAATTTTTAACTAGATGGCTTCGTTTGTTTTCTGTTCGCCATTGTATGTGGTGCCTTTTATATTTTTCTGTGTGTTGGCCGTAACGTATATAAACATACGTTTGAGATGGGAATTTTCATTTTCTCTCCATTAAATGAAGGATTTTAGGGTTAACTTTGGCATATTTAAATTGCCAACAACACGCATCATGCAATTTGGGAGTATTTGGATGAAAAACGTATTATTTTTTCTGTTTTTTTATTTATATTTTTTTTTACAAGGAAATAAAACTACAAGTAAAATGGCGAACGAGGAGATCTCTGTTAACAAATTTACGAATAATTGTTCTATTGGATAGAACAACTCGCACGTGTAATACTAAAAAAGTGTCTAAGCACGTTCCGAAAAAATATTAGGGTCAGTTAGGAAGAATTTCTTTTCGTTTATCAACTTGGTTCTTCAGAAAGTAAAGTAAAATTACATTTTATTCGCCATTATTTGAAATTATCAGGCAGATGTGCAAAACCCCTTGAGTCGTTCTGTTGCTAATCTTTTTTATTCCGAGAGATATTTTCATTTCACAGTTATATTAAACACGTAAAATATTTAACATGGAAAGATATTAAGCAAAAAACCATTTTATATGATACCAGGAGTAATCAATGAATCCTAGATACAATTGAAAATCTAAAAAAATACAAAGGGACCGGATGACAATGATTTTTGGTGCCATGAAGCAAAACACATTTTTTAACCAATTTGATTGTGCTGATTCCGAAAATGACCATAGTTTTTCATGGTTAGCTACTGTTTTCGCTATACTGAAATTACTCAATTTTGGAAAAAAGATCAATTTACAATTTTAACTGATCACAAAATTTAGTTAATAAATGTCGTAGAAACCCATCAATTTTTAGTTAGGCCGAGCACTTTATGTCAGCTACCTGAAAAAACTATTTTTATAAGCAAAAAGTGTTTTTATTTACATTATTCGGACTATTGTCCTCATCTTTGTTGCCATATTTATCACAACGTTTCGGCCGCAAGAAAATAGAGTACTTGTTCTGTTTTCTATTCGTTTTCCTCCTACTTTTAATACTACCATTCTTTACTTGTTCCTTGAAATCTGCTTTTGCTACAACTCCAACTGTCTATAAATATGCGAACTCTTGATAGCAATATTAATATTAATAACTATATATTTTCTTCTATAGTTACTACTTCTGCTACCAGTACTACCATAGCTTCATCTAATTCGTCTATCTTTTATTCTGTTTTCTTGACTCTATCTCTTAAAAAGGAAATAGTTACCAAAAAACAATAACCATAGTTGATTTTTTTTCCCGCGGCCTACGCAACTCTCATCTGTTTTATACTGTTGTGTAGCAAATACAAATATCAAAATGTTGAAATTATTGCCTTCAAATACTGCCACCTCATCCCAACCTAACCCACTCCAAAACAATCCCACCCCGTACTACCCCACCCCGGCACCTGGTCTATTTGGTTCAACACAGTTACTGTTTTTCAAAGAATTTTCTTCGCGGTACCATTATTATCTTCCAGGAATTAAAAAAAATAATAATCCCGGCTCATTTTTTTCATAATTTGGTAAAATTCCCACCGGGATGTCTGTTCCCAAACGGCACTAGTATTTGGTATGAAAGAAAGTACTTCTTTTCACGTATATGATTGGTGTTCCAGATCAGCTAAAAACGAAAATATCGATGCAGATTTTCCAAATAGTTTGACTTTCTTTTTTTCGGAGTCTGACTTAATAGAGGTTGTCCCTAAAGTCTGCAAACATAGGCAAAAATGCGCATTTTCAAGAAATGAAATTTCAAGAAATTTTATGGAAATGGAATATTAACGAATAACATCTTCAATATGATTTCCATTATTTAGGATGCAAATTCACGTGCACTCGATGAAATAATTCCACATTGCCGTCAATTGTAGTACGTTCAATATTTATGCGTATAATCGTGTTGAATCTGTGATTTTTATTGAGTACACCTTCTCTTTTAGCAAAGAAAAAAAGAATTCAGTTCTTTCTTCTTTCGACAAAACCATGTTTAATCTGTGAAGTTAAAAATTATAGATTTTATGAGATTTCCTATGTGTCCAAACTTTAGGGACACCCTGTACATTCTTCATCTATCCTATTTTCGCCATTTAGCCACCTGATTGACCAACCTATGTTTAGTTAATTTCTAAATTTAATATTACGTCTTTATTTTGATTTTAATTCCGTCAATGTCCCAATTAAATTTCATTTTGTTTTAATTTTATTATGTACTTTCCTCTATATTTGTTTCTTCATTTCTTTTCACAATTTTGCCTTTATTATTATTATTGTTGTTGTTGTTGTTGTTTTGCCGTTGTTGTTGTATTATTATTGTTTTTGTTGGTGTCCTTTTTCTTCTTCTTATTGTTATTGTTGCCGTTGTTATTATTATCATTGTTGTTCTTTTTCTTCTTCTTGTTCTTATTGTTGTTGTTGCCGTTGTTATTATTGTTGTTGTTGTTCTTTTTCTTCTTCTTCTTGTTATTGTTGGCGTTGTTATTATTATTATTATTATTATTGCTCTTTTTCTTGTTCTTGTTGTTGTTGGCGTTGTTATTATTTTTGTTGCTGGTTATAGTGGTATTCTTTTTTTTATTTTTTTATTTTTTTCTTCTTTTTCTTTTTCTTCTTTTTCTAATTATTATTATTATTATTAATAATCTATCATCACCATAATAATAGCAACAACAGTGTCAGCAACAACAGTAGGAACAACAACAGCAATACTACTACTACTCCTACTATTACTACCAATAATAATAATAGTAATAATAATTGTGTTTTGTCAGAAAAATTGTCGAGCATTGTATTTCTGGAGATAACGCTTTAAGTACCCAATCTTCAGAAATATATAATTAGTACCAATAAATGAAATTAAGTATACAAACTTAAGTTTCCGACTCAGAATTTGGAAGAAAAGTATCCGCTTGTCATGGGGGTATGATAATAAAATTGGAACTGTTTGCCTATAATTATTTCTTTCTAAACCCTAGTCAATTTTCTTTTTAAACCTTTTCATTTATTCTTTCTTCGCGACTCTATGGAAGAACAGCGTATACATATATGCTAAACACTGAGTGGGGAAGATATATTTGAAGATTTAACTTCTTATTTCATGTATCCGGTATCCGGACCGCCAGATAGTACAACAATAGTTAGAAAGATTATATACAAGGGTACCCGGACCGCCAGAAAGGACGACAATAGTTAGAAAGATTCAATAAAGTCAAAGAAATCACAACTAAAAAAGAGGACGATGAACCCGTTTAATTAATCCCTAGTCAACAAAATCTTTTTTGAAATGGTGTCGAGACACCAAACATATTTCTTTTCTTTTTTAGCTAATT